TATAGATATATTTTATATGTAAAGAGACCAAAAACATATTTTAATTAATGGTATAAGATTAAATATGCTTAATAGAAATATTTAAGGGCTAAAACTAAAATTTAACAGAATAGACTTATATTTAGGTGTGGGTATCCGTCGATCAGCTCGATTTTGAATGTTATCGGTTCTGCATATCGAGTATCAATTTATAAACATGCTAAATCGATAATCGAACCATTAAAATATCGATTATCATGTATCGATTAATCAATTATCAATTGTTAACGGTTCAATTATCGGGTTTACTCGATAAGACAAAGTTATGTCATAAGTGATCAAGGAGATAACATGATGATTAATGAGTTCTTTGTTCAGGAGCTTCATGAGTTTAGCAAATGGATCGTAAATTATGCCTTAACCGAACCAAAAGTTATTAATTAGTTGTAGAAACAACACAAAAGCAGTTAGAAAACAAATGTAGAGCTACGTAAAAATTATCCAAAGTCACTTTTATCTAATTAAGAAGTTTGCCTAGCACTAATTAAGAAGGCAGTTTTATGAAAACAATATCCAAGAGATTTGCTCTAAGTCCAATTGTCTAAGCATGACAGACGATGGTTATCCCAAATTAATACATCAGCATTATTAAACAGAAACATATAGAAATATCGTAACAACATTCAAGCTTGAGATTTGCTCAATTCAATTATCGAAATATAATAGAAACAACGCACAGTAGTAGCAGTTACACCTTGAAAATTAATAAGTCCAAAGGGTCAAATTGTAATTTTAATAAAGATTAATGGTTTATTGGTTAAACCTTTATCCAATAGGGCAAAATTAGTCCCGAACCAATAACTCAATAATAAAATAATATTAAATTATTACCAAATCATTAACCAAATAATCCAATTGTATTTTCTCGGTCGGGGCTATCAGCTTAACTTACTCGAAATATGCCTAACTCTAATAAGTACATTAGTTTGGTTTGAGGCTGTAAGGGTTACTTCAATCACAAACTGAAGGTACCTTTGCATTATTTTTCAAATGCTACTATATAGATATATATATTTAAAATCTTTTCAAAACAGTTTTTGGTTGTGAAAATCCAACATGAAAATGCGTTGTCGAATTGCAAAAAATGTGAGAACCAGTTTTTCATTGGAAAACTGGAATGTTGGTATTTTTAAGTTTTTAAATTTACCCTGTATTTTTTAAATTTATAAAAAGACCCCAAGTTATTAAACCTAGGTAACACCTACAACTACCCACTTTCCCCTTCCATAACAAAAGATACAGAACGCAAGCAGCAAGAATATGTGCTTGAAGGTGCCACTGCAACTTATATTAGAGATCGTTCGTACAGTTAAAACAATTATCATGTTTGATTGTTTGTTCTAAGTAGGATAATTAATCAAGCCAAGCAGTTTTGATATTATTTTATAAATTGTGCGGGTATATATTCATCATGTTTTATGATTTTGCAAAAAATACATTCAAATATGTAGCAAAAATTACAGGCAAACACAACTACATCTTCAAACGCCTACTTAAAGTCATCTATCTCCATATAGTTCCGAATTTGGCTAATGTTACTTGAGTTTAAATTATTTCAAATGTGCTTCATTATTTGGACTCAACTCTCAACTATAATGAGGTTAAAAACTTAACAAGAACATTATTTCAGTAACATTAATTATTTTTTTTAAAAGGAAGAGAACGGCAAAAAAGAGACGGAGATATGACATAGAACCAAAAGCACCGAGCTGAGGCGCAAGAGAATTAAACCAGTGTTATCTCAGCAGTGCTTACTAACCTTCTCTTAATCCACTGTTGCCACTTCTGGAATTTTCCGCAAAATAAATTTAAATAAAAACTATGGTCAACAAGGATTCAATAGTCGATCCCAACTTGACTGTGAGGGGATGTAAATATTATTCTTAACCAATTAAAAGTAGCTCAAAATTGAACTAAAGCGATAAAACAGGACCATGTTTTTTTTTTTCCTTTTACTTTTTACTGCCAAAAACCAGGAAGTCTTCCAAAGGAAAAACCCAACTAAACGGGTGGTCTTCTTTTCTATGGGCTGGTGGCCCCGGTTATGGTCTCAAGGTTGCAACTAATGCTTTATAAGAACAGCAATACTACTATAATACCCAATACAGAAGATGAACATGTTAACATGTTCCTTTTTGTCCATTGGTGAGATAGTTTCTAACGCCTGTTATTATTGTTTTTTAACCTTTTGTCTTTCCGCCTAGGTTTTATTGAAAACAGTTTCTCTATTTTTACAAAGTAGGAATAAAGTCTGCCTACATTCTATCTTTCTCAAATTTTACTTATAAAATTACATTAAGTTTGTTGTTGTTATGCTTGATGAGACAGTTTTTACTTTTGGCACAGTCGTTGTGCTCGAGTTATATATTCTTTCTGGAATCAAACTATCAGAGACTTGGAGGGTGTTTGGAAACCAGCTTTTAAGCCACTTTTTATTATATGGAGTTTTTGGCAAAAAAAAAACTGCTTAAAAAAAATTTAAAATGTAAGTTGGTTGATCCCAACTTTTTCAATTTTGGTTTAAAAGTCATTTTGGTTTGACCAATAAAATTACTCTTTTGTCCATTATAAGTTTTCATAATATCAAACTTACCCTCAGTCAAAGAAACCCCAAAATATTTTCTTCTCATATTTTCTTCACATTTGAAGACCGGTACCTCTTCTATCATCTTCCTCTCTACTTCATCTTTCATTTTCTGCACTTTTCTCAAGTATCATTTTCTGATCCACTTGCGTTACTTTCTACCAATTCTACTTGACTATATAGTATCTTTCTTCTACTTTATAAAAATTATCTAAAGTAATCTCATAAATTGAAATTAAATTAAAATATAAATTATTTTTTATTTGCGTTAATTTATAATTAAATATATTATAGTAATCAGCTCCTTTATAATATTAACAGCTTTAAGGATATTTTTGTATTTTTAATAAAAAAAAGTGCTTACCAGCACTTGTTTACCAAATACTTCAACAACTTTTTTTAAGTTTCAGTACTTTTATCCAAACAGGTAACTGTTTATTTATAAAACAAGTTCCAGCACTTAAAAGCTGCTTTTAAACCTTTGTGCTTCGAAGCCACTTTTCTTAAGTCAATCCAAACGGGCTCTTAATCTATATATGCCACTCATTTGTTTCACCTTACTTTACATCATCACGTTCACCTTGTTTCAAGTAAATTAGCAAGCAAATCACAGAATCATACTATATTATAAGTGTGAAGGCTTTTACAAGAAGTTATTTTACTGAAATATCCTTCAAAAGCTAAACGACCATTCCACCCTTCAGTATAACAATATTCCTTTAATATTGTTGAATAAAAATGCAATTATATATTATAATAAATAATAATGATTAAATTGAGCATATTAATTATATGTACAAACTTTAGACATTTACTTTTAATGATAATAATATTACGGTATCTCTCATTCTAATTTATTACATGTGTGCAAGTTTATCAAGTTGGGTCATTATTCAATTACTATGATTCAGAATTATTAGCAAGTCTTTTCCATTACTCAATATGAATATGTAAATAGAATGCATAATATATGGGAATTCTTTAACTGTTCGGTGTCGGCATCTTTTTCTATTTCTAACTATTCTCCTAACCGGGCTAACCGAGAATTCATCTTCAGGGAACCATTGAAGCTATCGAGAGAGTACCAAATGCTGACGGTGACGGAGGTTACCGACTTTCGGTGGACGCGGAGCCAACGACTTCAGTCGAAGAGCTGCCATCTAACTGATTAGTGAAGGTAATTAATTATCCACAATTGGTTGTCTACTTGACCATTTAACTTCTTTGTTACACGTTTATATTTACAATTATTATAGCTCTTTTCTAGATTGATAGACCATATTACGTTCTTGTTATCTTCTTTCATAGATATTGACTCATCTTATGGAGCATATCGGCAATCTATTTTACATGAAACTATTTTGGTTAAGTTTTAAAAAGTTCACAGCGTGCTACTCAATGTCTCAACGGAGCATCTCATGGTTATTGGTCAGAGTGAGAAAAACTACTTTGGTGGAAGTAGGAGTAGCATATATTAAGATGTTTCTACCGAGATTCAATTGAATAAAGTACGTGTCAACTGGTATTCTCTTTTTGAGATCTTCAACATCTATTTATAAAAATATTTTAAGAATATTATTCATTAGGAAATTTCCATCTCGATGTATTGACGGTCTTATGAACTAAGTAGAACATGCTATTTAAACTTTCTTGCATAATGCTATAAAGTTGGAATATATTACCATCCATAAAAAGTTGGATAATTTTGTGAAGCAAATTTCTTTTCCTGTATTGAGTTAGCTAAATAGGATTAAAGTCCATCATTTTCAAGAACTTATAATTTTTATTTATTTTAGAATTCAAATATATTGTCAAATTTAGCTCATTTTTAAAATTTAATTCTCATTGACATTGAATACACGCGCAATGTGTCTGTCCAAATACAAATAATAACACAAACAATCAAGCACACACATATCAATATATATNTTAACATAACAACTATCGAAACTATATACTTGTATATTTGTATACCTAATTATAAAAATACAAAAATATAAGAAATAGTGTTGGCTCAAAACTCATTCTCTCAACTCAAAACTCACACGTCTCCGACATTTAAATTTTAGATTCGCGAAAGGCATATCTAGATTGTGGAATGCCATTATTCTAGAGAGGAATCTAATTCACTTGAAGAATGAAATTGGCATTCAAGTAAATTGTCAAAATTTCCACAACTATTCTATAAGAATTTAATATTTAGGAACACAATCACACACACAAGAACTAACAACTACTCTATAAAAGGTATGGGAAGTTAATAAAGACATTAATCATTGATAATGATTATAACAAAATTAACATAAACACTAATGAAATTGTATCCCTATATTTATATACCCTTATCATTCTAAATAAAAACCTCAAAAAAAGAACATTAAATCAAACACTTTTTCCTTTTCTATCTCTATGATGATTGGGGAGGGAATTATACGTTACACGTACAAAAATCAATAAAGAAGACATATTATGATTTCAAGATTCTCTCTTTTCCTTTCTATCTCCTATCTCTAACGGACAAAAAGATACTACAAATAAAAAAGAAAAGTCAGTGAGAAGAAAAGCATAATTTCATGAACTTTAGCCACGTATATTTTTCCGGGTCAACCACCGCCAGCCGCCGTAGTTGCGGCGTTATTCGTCATCCAAGGAAACTGCAAAGTCCCCGGAAAATTCTCCGGCAAGCTATCTCCGGCAGCGGGACTTTCCAATTCTTCCAAACCCTCAAAGAAATCATCATTTTCGTCTTCAAAAATGTCTTCTTTCTCGTCCCTGCTGCTTTCTTGATTTTCCGGCGCCGGCGAGTTAGTCGCCGGCGAAGATACCGGCGATGAGCTAGTGGTTTTGTTTGAGTTCGTCTCTTTGTTATGGCGGCTGATTCCGGCTAAGGAATTTCTGTGTGTGAGCATAGGATGATTATGCTCAGCTGTATATGTGATTATGAACATATTCGGGTCGGATCTATTTCGCTCCACTTGTTTTCGGGCCAAACATCCTTTTGAAGTGCTACATTTGTAATATCCCCTGTTTAATTCAAAGAAATATTCAGAAAATTCGAATAAAATTCACTCAAAGATGAACCACATGATCAATTGGTTATGTGACTTATTTCCAATATTTTTTAATTTTATGTCAAATGTCAAAAGACTTATATTTTTATACGTAATAGATCAGAAAATAAACATATAAAATTACAAGGCAATTTTTTCTCTATTCAAATTGTAAAGGATTACGGAACCATTTCCTCCTCAAGATATTTCATAAATCACAATATTTTTCTATTTGTTTGTGAATTAAGATAATGAATTTGATTTTTGCTGAAAAAGTTTTTTTGTAAAAAAATTTCCTTAGATTGAGTTTTTTTTTTCTTTTTTTTTTTTGGTTTGCTTTTAATTTCAAAAAACATGAAAGTACTTTTTAGAAGCAACCTAGAATGTAGTAAAAGAACCAAGACCTTGGGTATGGGGAACCTTTAATGGGTTTTTGCCCATATTTTCTCCAAGACCACTTATCAGAAGATAAAGCATCAGCAGCTACTTGACATACTTTCTTCATTTGGTTCTTCCTGAGAAAATAAAAGAAAATCCATTAAACATATTGGAAAAAAAAAAGTAGAAATAAAAATATAGAGGTGTGCACAAACTGACAAATGATAATGCTAACATAGAAAAACTCCCATTTACCCATAGAAAAATACAATATGGTTAATTTCGACATGGAGCATATATATGCGTAAGAAAATCACTAATAACAACCCAGTATAATCTCACTTAGTGGGGTCTAGAGAGAGTAGTGTGTACGCAGACCTTACCCCTACCTAGGGTAGAGAAACTATTTCCAAATAGACCCCCGGCATCCTTCCCTCCAAGAACATCCCACCTTGCTCTTGGGGACACTCGAACTCACAACCTCTCGGTTGGAAGTGGGGGTTGCTCACCATCAGAGCAACCCCTCTTGTCTTAAGAAAATCACTAATATTTTAACGAATATTAAATTTTGAAACAGTAAGTTCAATTGAACAATAAATTTAGCAAAAATAACTATAGAATTTAAATTTTGAATCGCTTTTTAATATTACCTTCTTTTGCTTCTCGGGCTTTGAGCATGTAAAGTAGCACCATTTACTGATGACAAGGATCGTTTGATGGGCTGAATTAGTTTTGTATTTAGTTGGTTAAGCTGTTGTTGTTGCTGCTGTCTTTGTGGTAGATCTTGTAATAATCTCTGTGGTGAAATTAAGGGCGATTTTTGTAACGGAGATCCGTTAAAGAAAGGCTTGCAGAGCTCATGCAACTCTTCAAAAGCAGTATTTTGTGTTGTAAATCTTGGGTCAAAGGACAGATCTTGAAAGCAAAAAGAGTTAATATCATCTAGTCTTGGTTGGAATTTACAAGAAGAAATGGTGGCGCTGCCGCTAGAACTAGTGGTGGTAGTGGTGGTGGAGTTAGCGGCGGCGCAGCTTCTGACCACCGCATGTAGATCCCAATCTTCCTCCATATTGTTGTGTCTTTGCTTTATGCCTTGACTTTTCTAAAGAGAAGAAGAAGAAGAAGACAAAAGAGGCGCTGACTTTTGGAGGAGGAGGGGAGATATGGGAAAGGGATTTGAGAAAGAGTTGTAAATGAATATTAGTGGAATACAATTATTATTTATAGAAAAAGTATGTGTCTCTCTTGGGTGGTTTCACAAAGTGAAGGTGGGGGGCCTAAGGTAATTGTATTTGTATTTGTCACTCCTTTTACCTTTCATCCCTTTTACATGGACCTAATAATTATTTTTAACGTTAATGCTATTCATCTTTATTGCCATTATTTTTTATTTTTTTATTAAAATTTATTTCATTATTTCATGTTATAGAACGGCGATATAGAGCCTGATATTTTTGACTTGATGCAACGTTTAAAATATTTATTTAACGTATATATTCATGGTAGTTTATATATTTATATCTACTGATGGTGTGACATTTCTACAATTTATGTATTTTGATTTCTTATAGCTAGTGTGAAATTGGGTGGAGAAAAGGGGATTCAATTGTATCCCATACACACATAGAGCTTAAAATATGGTAAAATAAATCTTTTTTATTATATGTAAACTGTTGAATTCAATTTACATAAGAGAAAACTCCAGTAAAATAGCAAAGCAAGTTCAAAAATTATTCTAGTGTGATATTCTAGTTAATTTGTTTTAATCTGCCTGCCTGTATAATTTTTTTTCTCTGCTACTAGTTGTACATATTAATTATTTTTTTAAAAAAACAATAAAATTCATAAATTTTACTAATTAAAATAGTAATTTTTTAAAATAATCTGATCATATACACATTATTGAGATTATTAATGGAAATTAAACTCATTATAGTAATGCTCAGTAGGCGAAGAAAGAGAACATTTTTGGACGATAATTCAAAACAGATAGTATTCCTTATACGGTTGCTTCGCGTTGACCAAAGCCAATTGTCAAAAGGCAATGGCGTCGGGGGTGGGGGCGATTTGCGGTGCGTACACGAGGCCAGCCCGTGTTTACACCCACTCTCTCTCATCGTGACTCGTGAGTTGAGTTAACTTTAGGGGGGCTCGATAATGGGATTTACCGACGAAAAGACAAATCCGAAAAAATAAGAATAAAAAAAGATAACGAGGGGGCCATTCATGTGGACAGTGCCAAAAGTTAATGCGAAGAATGTATTGAACTCTCATTTCCTGCGCGTGCTACCACCTAAATTCGATGTAACAATCCAGTTAGTATAATATTTCATCCAATAGTATGTTATAAACTTATAATTTTAGTTCTAGTCATATTGGTTAGATTTTGTATGTGTATACGGTGGAAATCGGGGCTACACGATTTTATTCTTTGGTCGAGATAGGAATATCACGTCGAAGAGCTAGGATGCCGAGGTCGACCTCGATTGCGGACCGGAGAGAGGCAAACTTCGAGTGACACCGGCGTAGCTCGATAACGAAAAATGCGAGATATATGCAGTTGATTGAGAATCGTGGCGTGAATCTCGAAACGGATAAATCTGCAGCGGTTAATTAGATGTTAATATGATTTCCTACTATAATTAGAAGTGTACCTTATTTAGGACTCTCATATTATATAAAGAGGGATCCCATTTGTGAGCACGTGATTTTTGCTCTATATATGAATAATTCCCAAAAATTCAAACAAAATAATTTTTCTTTATTTTTACAATTTTTCGTGCATTTTGATGTCATTTTCTGATAATGGTTGCATTTTATTTGTGCATGTTAATTCATATAAAACACAAAAAATATGCATTTGCATTTAGGATATAATTTTATATTTTTAGGACCGATTAGGGGTTAGTTTGTTTTAGAACCAAACATGAAAAATTACAAAATAGCTCACTTTCG